AACTATGTATTGAACACTCGACTTTGTTCAACTGAGGCAGTGAGGGGGGAAAGCAAAATAAAGAATTGCTAAAAATCAATATCACATTAAACCTAGAGTTTAACATATGTTCTATACACCAAATCATATCAGAATAACAAAGCTAAACTTTACGGTTAGCTAAGACATCTCATGGAGCATGGCAATGGACTTGTTTAGTACTCCCTCCGTCCCTAAATTTACTTCCAACTTTCCCTTTTCGCCCGTCCCAAAAACAACTTCACTTTCCCTTTTGGCAAAGAATTTGTGGTTCACAGCATTTCTCTCTCCTCTTCACAACTCTCCACCACACAATTCCCACTTTCTTAATCATCGTGCCACTTTAATTCGGAAGAATATTTAGGGACGGAGGGAGTATAAGAGTTCTGTAGTTATCACCAGCTTGTACTTCAAGGCTTTGATCCACTTTCTTTTGCTTTGGTTAACTTCCAAGTCCTGCTCGCTTTTCTTTATCCAATGCTTGGACTGATTCTGTCATGGCGCTTCCATCCTTACCCAATCCATAAACATCAGATCAACATACAACAACAAAAAATTAAATTTCAAATCAATTGTTAGCTCATGGACTCGTGCTTCCCCCCAAGTTGAGTTTTTAGTTGTGCAGGATAGAAGATGCAATAAGTTATGAACCAAGAGTTTAATACAAGCAATTTATAAGGATTTCAAGTCAACACATCACCTTTAATTTTCTTCTCCCATAACTGACATACTTCACACACTCGTGAATAACTCTTCAATACGAAAAGATTGTTGTTGTGAAATGAATGTTCCAAAATAAAACAAACAAAAGAGAGAAATTGAACCAGTTGTAGTGGAGGTAGGGTGAATGAAGATGAATAAAACCCAAATCAACGTTTAAAAAAGGGAAAAGGGCCAAAAATGACACTAAGGTTTTTAATGAACTTCAGATTGAACACTAAAGTTTTAAATAGACCAAATAAACACAAATATAAACTTTTTTATTCCATTTTAGCCACCCTTAACTGCTCCCTTATTTTATTCCATTCGATGTCGTTAAAAAGCACGACCGAGAGAGATTAACTATGGACTTCACTTCATCACTGCTTGCTCCTAATATTCTCATCAGAATTCAGAACAGGTCGATTCGGCTCTTCTTCTCCCAAGTGCAGCAAACGGCTCTCATTCTCTGCGGTGAACAAAAACACCGACTCTCCGCCTCCTTCTGCTATTTAAAATCAAATCAACAGCAAAAATGATAGATGGAGCTCCTTCTTCTTCGACGGACACATGGGCAACAGAGATTCGATGGCTACCATCCTTGAAACCTAATTTTAGTCCGGTAAAGAAACAGCGACAGCGGCCCACTACTCTTCACAACTAATCGGCGTAGCCTCAGCATCTGATGCAGCAAACGAACACCAACATCTGTCGATAACACCAACATCTCTCTGCCGCTCATCATCGGAAGAAAATTGCCGCAGACCATCATCAGAAATTGATCTCAACGGTAGCCCTATTATTCTTGGGGCTGTGTTGTTTAACGACAGGGAAGGGGTCATCTAACAGAGATGTTAAAGAGTGGCTGAAATGGATTCAAAAGGTTTAAATTTGTGTTTATTTGGTCTACTTAATTAAAACTTAAATGTCTAATCCGAACTTCATTAAAAACCTTAGTGTCACATTTTGTCATGTTGGGTGTGTTTTGGAAAAAACGAAGAAATATTAATTAAATAAAATTAATTAATAAACAAAATAGCTAAAAGAAAACAGAAAATAAGATGGAGCAGATTTTAGCCAGAGCTCGTGCTACGCACGATGTCCTTAAAACGTATTCGTCGCCTCCCACGGTGCTAGGAGCGTTGCAACGACCGTTTCCCAGGATACGGTGGCTAACGAATGATCGTTTGAGCACACAAACGAAAGTTCCGGCGAACTGAAACACAATAAGAACACTTAGGAAATTTGGGAGTAGCTGGAAGTGTTTTTCTCTCAAGAAAACGTGAGGAATGTATTGTGTGTTCTCAAACCGTGTGTCTGTTGCAAAGCACCTGCCAGCTATTTATAGGAGGATTTGTTGTGTGTTAAATGGGGTGTTAATGGACCTGAACGTTGGACATCAATGACCAGTCCGTTGGGCATTGAATCGTCCATAAACTGTCCATTTAACGCAGCATTAAAAGAGAAGAACGTTGGGCATTCGTGTCTTTGAATGATAGGTTTTCGGACGACATTCGTGTCCGCAGGTCGCCCGCGCACACGAGTCGCGATTTTTCTTCTCCGTTTCGGGATTTGATCGGCACCCCCCCCCCCTGCGCGTAAGAGAGAGCCTTTACCCTTAGGAATCTTAACTCCTTAAAAGAGGCTTCCCTTTATAAGGGGGTGAAAATCCCTTGAGTTTTTCGGTGTGGGATAAAACACACTAGAAACTCATCATTTTCCCAGTTTTTCCATTTCAACGAGTGAACTTCGAGAATCAATTTCTCATTCACCCGTTATCCGTTTTGAGTGTACCACATATCGAATTTGTAGCCCTTAACAAGGACAATCCAAAACCACTTTGACCCGACCCAAATCGGAAGTGGACCCCACTCAAATAATTGCCCCAAAATGACCAGTTAATGCAATTTTTAACATACTCAAATAATTGACCCGACCCAAATCATGCTTTTGATCTCGAAAATTTAACATATACTGATCGTTAATGTGCAGAAAATCCGAATGCATGCCACAATAAAAAAGGTTTTGATCCCGAAGTTTGAACAACTAATCAAACAAGGATGTGCGTACTATATTGAGAACGTCTTGGTTGCAATGAATGACTCAAAGACAAAAAGACACACTACTCACAAGTACCGTCTCAACTTCTTGGGAGTGACCAAGTGCGGAGAACTACGCCTTAGTAGTGTGCCTATGCATTATTTTCAATGGGCTAGCTTTAAGGACATTTTGGACGGAAAACACGAGAATATGATGTTTGGTATGTTTTTTCATATACAGACATAACATTTATTAAATTAATTTGTATACAACATCACATACATGCAAAACACTGTAAATTATGTTATTTCAGATGTTATTGGCCATATTGTCGAGAAGGATAATTTGAAGGAGATTTCGAAGGATGATCCAAAAAAGGCTGATAGACATTGTTTTGGAAGATCTGGAGTGCGTTTAATTAATAAAAAAATATGAAATAAATAAATAAATACATTGCAGATATTAGATGAATTCATTTATCAAAATTGATTGTGTTGCGTGTGTTGTTCCATAGGTAATAGGTTGGGATGCACACTGTGGGCAGATCTCGCAGACCAAATTTGGAACTATTTAAATGGTGAGCACACTAAGGGGCCAATTATTGTTATTTTGGATATTTGCCAGACCAGAATGTTCAATGGTCTGTTTAATAATTTAGTTTTTGTCATTATAATACTATATTCAATGAATTCTGTTTTATTTAACATACTTTCCATAAACAAATAATTGTTTTAAAAATTTAAATAATTTGTTTCTTTCTGGATAAATAAATTGTCCAATGCATATTTTGGAACAAAGTTGCATATAAACTCACCTCTCTCGGAAATTTCTGATTATAAAGAAAGGTATAAGTATAGTTTTTTTATTGCTTGATATGTTTTTTTTATAAAAAATATGGTTGTACACATTATAATTATCTTAATATAAGCTTAAAATATTCTTTATTTTACAAACAAAGGTAAAAAAGTGTAATTTATTTGTTGTCCTCTCATAATCGTTACTAAAGTTTACTGTTCGAGTTTGAATTAGTATATAACATGCTTCAATTTTTTTAAAATTGATACTTTAAATTGAAATCGAAACAAACCTGTTTTAAAAGCTAACTTCCCCAATCTGCTTGACTTGGTGTCTTCTTGCTTTGAGACATTGACGTCTACTTGCAATGAAGTGTCAAAGAAATCTATGTGTCAATTAAATTAATGCTTTTCATATTTAGTAAAAAGATACTGTTAAACTTTCAGTTTTACATTATTTCACACAAATTGCAGTCCTATGAAATCTATGTTGTGTCAATACCCATTATTTCAGTTTAAATTATTTCACAGTAGCTGCAGCCCTATTAACAGAACACTCATATCATGATTTATGAATAATGAAACAAAGTTAAATTGCAGGTTTTACTCTGGAGGGAAAGCATTAAGTCAAGTTGTGAGCAACGTCTCTTCTCAAACTACACGCACATTTGAAGAAGACCTGCTACATGACCATTTCAGATTTGATCGATTGCTCAGAGGTAATTATGTATATATGCATTCATTATGTTGAATTATCATTTTCTAAAATAGTTCAAATATTGCATAGAACTGCCAGGCATTTGTTTTGGCAAGTGTGATTGAAGTTGGTGATAGTGATTGGTATTATCAGTCATGCACAACATGTTATAGAAAGTGTTACCCTTTGGGCAATAAGTTCTATTGTGAGGGTCCAAAGTGTGGGATGGAACGGTCTGCAATTCCTAGGTATGACACATTATGTAGTGGCATAAGTGTGATTACACAAACCGCTTAAAGCAAACTTTGACTAGAAAACTTCTCATATTCTTGCAATTCAACTTTTATTTACTCTTCCTTTCAAAAAAACCTTTATTTACTCTCATTTAGGGAATTACCCCTTAAATAAACAATGATGGTTCATATCAAATTATCAACTATCAATACTTAATTTTACTATTTTAGTATGCAAGACTCGTAAAAGTTTTGAGAGTAATTATAATGTGCTGAACAAAAATTGATAATTCTTGAAAAGAAAAAGTAATCTAGAAAAATTGAGTGTGGAAAAAATACTCTTTGTATGACGGGAAAAATGAAAACACTTCAATACGGAAACAAGGCAGGAAACAATTTAAAAAGGCAAAAGAAACACTTGAGCAATGGAAAATCCCGCTTTACGATCACAAACTAAAAAGTGTGTAAAATAAAACGGAAAGCACATCACGCATAAGGAGTAATTAAGATCATGAACGGAATATAAACTCATGCAGGTAAATGATTAATGTAGGACTAGATAGCAGAACCCAGATGAACAAATAAATAACCTGCAAATTGCCAGAGTTAATATAGTCTTTTATTACAAATTACGGCCAACTGGCTAAAGCTCGCAACAAAAGTACCAAATACCCCCCTCCTCTTCCCCTTGACGTCTCTAGATTGATACAAAATACACAGTTTCATCAAAGAACGTTTTTATCTAAAGAACATGAAAGTAATTACACTCAGCCTCCAGAATTGCAGTTGCAGTTCTCTTCATAGAACATATGAACTGACATATAAATCCATGAATTGTAATGTGCATAGCTTTCCTAAGGCATCGGGTGCAGCCTTGAGACAAGTTATAGACCCAAAACTACGAACTACATATCCTTCTGTTTACACACTCTAATGCTTCACACTGTTACCTGGACAAAAACAGTAGCTGGTAAACGATTCGAAAAGTAAAAGAACCTAGTGAACCAAGGATCATTTCACATTCATGGCCGCAGCCATGCTTCTTAATTTCTGGGAAACTTCAGAAAAAGATGGCCTCTCGGAAGGATCAGAAGCCCAACAACTTTCCATAAGCGACTTCCATTCAGGATCACACCATATTGGGATCTCTGGGCGCAGGGTGTTGTTCACAATACCGCCTACATACATAATTCAAAAGACAGCATAAATAACAAAACCAAATCAAATAGAGCACAAACAAAAACGCTACCCAAGTTAATACAAGATGGTGCGGCAAATAGCATGGAAACTACCAGTACAGATATGAACTGAATCCTCAAAAGAACTTATGTGTAGAAAACACTACCCAAATTCTCGTTCATTACTTGGCTTGCCTTTCGTGGTAGGTTAGCCTCGTATGATTGTTTGGGGTTTTTGGATGTAGTTAACGTGTGCCAGTTTCCATGCTCTAGGAACTATTATTCATGTGAGAGTGAGTAGAGGAGCCTGTGGTCAAGGAAGGATGCAACTAAGTACCAAAAAGAAGTTTAGGATAACCTGACAGCCCAAATTTGCAGCTTATTTTGACAATTGCTCTCATTAGAAGTTATCCCACTGTTATGTCCATTCAGGATATGTTTTTCGGACAGGAAAAAGATACATCTATACACACCAATGACATCTCTAAATTTTATTTGGTTTCTCATAAATGTTAAAACATGCAGAAATCAAGAATATGAACGGAAATACGATAGGCACTAATGAATAAAGAAAGAAATAAGAAAGCTTTTATTAATAGCAGGAAGGAAACAAAATAAAAAAGCATCTGAGAAACCCTCCATCAAGATAACTTACCCGCCAAAATTTTCTACACTAACTATGTTACTCCTAATCAAAATCACCATCCCTATATTCTACTACGGGGATCTATAGTAATCTTAAAAAGAAAAATATAGAAGGTGAAGTAACAAACTAGATTTAGTCAAGGGTTCACAGAATCCTTAAAATTAATAAGACCCATGCTAATAAGACCCCTATGCTCCCTAGTGTCTGTGATTATGTTCTTTATTTTTTATCATTGTCGCCCATCTTAAGACGGCCATGGGATCCCTGTGGTTTAAGATTTGTTACAGAAGTTCTGGGGCATCACCTTGCATGTTCTTACTCCTTTCAGGGATTTCCAGAATGCACACATAGTTGTCTGTATTAGAAGCCCTATTTATTCATTCAACCTTTCCTTGAAATGAGAAGTTTTTTGTGGAAGTGGTGTGGAAGATGTAAAACCATGTTCTAAGGGCTGGTGGCAGCAGCGGTAGACACCTCAGTGTTGCTGGTATCTGTGGGGAGAAGGGCGAGTATCGAGAACTAGTGATGATAGCACCTTGGTGCTAGTGAAGGCATCAGTGTTGGCGGTGGAGGCACGGAATACATGTGAAAACGCCACCTTACTCAAGGATTTCCATCACCTACTTTTTTTGTGAGAGAACAGTGATATTGCTACATTAAGCCACTGAAATTGAAAGTCCAAAATCGTATCTGGAGTAGACTGAGAACATAAATATTTTCTTTCAGCAAACTTGCTAGTCACTACATTTCATACCAAACTAACGAACATCCAAAACTGAACAGTACCAACTGAGGTTGTGTAGACACACAGAAGATTGAAGCTTGCTGCACTTAACTGTACTGCATCTAAGCAAAAAAATTACTTATTTCTACATATAAACCTCTTCATGAAGATCCCCATGAATGAATGCTTTTTAATATCAATTTGAGTGATCAGTGACCAGTGACTCATATCACCTATCGATCAGAACCAGCTTGATCATAACAAGCTGATAAGTAACTGAAGAATCCAAGAAGAAAGTAGTAGTTTATTAATGAAAATTTAGTGAAGGAATACAGAAAGTCACGAAAGGAAAGGTTTGAGACTCTTCGAGTGGTCTCTCACTCCCAATATCCCAGTCCTGATCCCAAGTTCTGCCCCTCCATCTAATCCCCACTCACCCTTATTTATTCTATTTCTAATGGGCCAGCCCACTTCTAATAAGTTGTAGGGCCTAAACCCTATTATTGAACAAAACTAAAATGACTTAATAAGGCTCTAATTCTTGGTAGTGTTCAGGTCCCTAACATCACTCCCCCCTTTAACTTCCACCTTGTCCTCAAGGTGGATGATAAGAGACTGATTTTGCATTAGGTTCCAGCAAGTTTTTAGCTCCATCCCGCTCACAAAATTGATCTACTGTGCCCTCCTCTTCTTCTGGCTCTTCCCTCAAGATCAATTGATAATGTTTCATTCCACAAACATGCTCTTTGCCCCATTTGTTTCCACATTTGAAGCATAAGCCCTTCTTGCTTCTTTCTTCTAAGTTTGCTTGTGTCAACCTTTGGCCACCTTCCCATGTCTTACTCGGTTTTGGCGATTCCTCCAGTTTGTTCTCTGAAAGTGTTCTCTCCGGATTTAACGCAAGTGTTCTTCCCTTTGTTGCATCTACCCAGTTCCAGGGTCTAACCATTTTTCCTCCCTGTTCCTTCCAACCTATGTTGTCTTCTTCTTTATTTTTTTCCCTATCCACACCTTATTCTTCTGCTCCAACAACAAAGCCTTGTCCATCAGTTCAGTTAACCCACTGGTCTGGTGCAACTTCAGTTCCGTGCTAATTTCTTTTTTAAGGCCATTGAGAAACACTCCTTTTAACATCCCTTGGTCAGCAAGTTTGAGAGGAGCTACAACCATTTCAAAGTGATCCCGGTATTCCATTACAGAACCAGTTTGCCTAATACTGAGCATAGGACCAAACGGATTCTGCACTAAGGCAGGTTGAAAACGCCGGAACAAAGCATCTTTGAAGTTAACCCAAGAATGGTCATCAGTCTGTTCATCCCACCATTGGTACCAGTTCAGAGCTTTTCTGGCCATGGCTATCAAGATTATTTCTACTTTATCCTCTTCTGCCACATGGTTGAGTTTGAAATAGCGCTCAACCCTAATCAGCCATCCATAAGCCTCGTCTCCACTAAAAAGTGGTAAATCGACCTTTCTTCCAGTATATACACGGTCGCTGATTCTCTTCTGATAAGGGCTGCGTGAAACTGAGTGAGTTTCATGAGATTTACCTTCAGAACTAGAGGAGCTCACGCTTGCTGAAGTATGGCGACGACGGTTTGTGGTTGATCGTCCTCTTCTCTTATGGCGGTCACCCTGTAACATGATATTCTTCAATTCGGCCACGGTCTCACGCAAGCCAAGCAGTTCATTCACGGCAGTTCTCACTTCCGCTAGGGTGTTTTCCAGATTTTCCACACGTTGCTCCATTCTCGATCGGGTCAAGACCATGCGCAGGTAAGGCTTTTGTCAATGGCTTTGATACCAATGATAAGTAACCGAAGAATCCAAGAAGAAAGTAGTAGTTTATTAATGAAAATTTAGTGAAGGAATACAGAAAGTCACGAAAGGAAAGGTTTGAGACTCTTCAAGTGGTCTCTCACTCCCAATATCCTAGTCCTGATCCCAAGTTCTGCCCCTCCATCTAATCCCCACTCACCCTTATTTATTCTATTTCTAATGGGCCAGCCCACTTCTAATAAGTTGTAGGGCCTAAACCCTATTATTGAACAAAACTAAAATGACTTAATAAGGCTCTAATTCTTGGTAGTGTTCAGGTCCCTAACACAAGCTAAGAAAATGTATTTGTGTAGTCTAACAGCAAAAACCAACATTAAGGCAATCAATCTTATTAGCTACCTGATAGGAATATGGCTTAGTAGGCTATTAATAAGAAATAATAATAATAATAATAATAATAATAATAGTAAAGGTACTTGTAGTAGTATTGTTAGAAGGGAGTAATAAGGGGTTTTGGGGGTAAAATTAGCTAAGAAGTTCAGTTTGGTCCCTGCGTGGACTTTTACTATAAATAGAAGTGGGGGTAGCTAATGAGGGTAGGCTGTTATTTGATTTGAGTGTTGCCTTGGAGAGTGGGCTTCTCGAACAGTCCCCTGTTGCCTAAGAGTCCCGATACTTGTTGCCTAAGTCGAAGCTTGCTTCATCAATAAACTACTATTTCCCTCTTTGTTATCAGATCTGTTTTGCGTGTTATTGCTTTTGCTGAGATTATTCTCAGGATCCTATCGATGGTATCAGAGCAATTCTCCTGGGGATCGGATTGAAGTGGTGACTTATTAACTTCCTGGAGCTATGGAAGAAGTCTGGACACCAGAAATGGAGGCTCGCATGGGTAAGTTGGAACAGGAGATGAAAGCTGCTTTTGCAAACCTCTTGATGAGGAGTCAACAGATTCAGAACAGTATCATGACTTCTATGGCAGCGATTTCAGCTTCCGTCGCCGCGAAGAAGGAACAAAGGGGAAGATCACGATCATCGCATCGTTCGGCTTCTAACAGTTCGCAGATGCGAACTAAGTCTTCCGGAGCGTCGCGAAGTGCGCAGGTTCAGTCGTGAACTTCATCGTCTTTGTCAACAGCTCTTCCCTGTTCGCAAGCGTCGTCAGGAGCAGATCTCCTCAGTTCATCGGCCCTGGCGCGTACAGCCTCTCATAGGTCGCAGACTCTGGCGCACACTATTTCTCAGAGTACGCAGGTTTTGTCACCATCAGATTCTCCTGGTTCGCAGCTTAAATCTGGTAATCAACGGCAACCTCAGCTTAAGTCTCATAATTCGTCTCCAGATCCTCCACGGCAGACTTCTGCGTTCGTCTATCCTCACAGTTTGCAGACTTCCTCTCTATCTGTTGTTCTGAGTTCTCAGGATGAGACACATTCGGCTTCTCCCAGTACAGCCATGAAAAATGAATCTGCTGATGATAATTATAAAGTGGAGAATAAGGTGGGTCCTGAAATCTCTATAGAGGGTGAATATTCAGCTGCACCTACTAGTATGGGAAAGCTGGTTGGAAATATAGAAGTGGAACACTGCCTGCTTGGAAAAATTGTTAACGCTTCTATCTCCTCACTGGGGCTAATAAGGTTGGGGGCAGATCAGGACAGGGAAGCAAGGAGGTTTCAGGAATCCTTCTGTAATGGAATGTTGGGAAAACAGTTTACACGCGCATCAGACCATAGTTCTGAATGGTTGTACATTGATTGAAAGAGAATTCCTCCCTCTATTCCTGCTGTGGAATATGAGCATAAAAATGCTTGGCTTAATGCTGAGTTGTTTGAAACTAACAGGTGGAAT